AAAGTATTCCGTAAGAGGGACGAACCAAGCTAACCTAACACTAAACTAACCTAATCTACTCTAACACTAACCTAACACTAAACTAACCTAATCTACTCTAACGCTAACCTAACCTAACACTAAACTAACCTAACAGTAAACTAACCTAACCGACTCTTAATTCTAACCTAGCCTCATCTAACCTAACGCTAACCTAACCCAACGCGAACCAAACCTAATGCTAACCTAACGCAGCCTACCCTTCCCTCACCCCAATAGCGTTAGGGTGGTTTACTTAATCTTTAGGTGAAAAAGGAATGAATTGGAGATTCTTCCGGTAATCGATGAAGGAAAACCTAATCTTTTGCAGGTAGGTAGAACTTGGCAATGTTGATTAAGAAAAAATAACAAGGTAAACACAAAAGGGAAATTATTGACCCGTGAACGACAAAGGATTATTGACACTGGTGGCTGGTATACAAAGGGAGGTATTACTAACGGACTGTCAGTGGTTGGTTGATATTAGTCTTGTCTGTGAGAGTGAATGGGTGTTGAGCTGTTGCTTTGGTAGAACTGAATGCAACCTACTACTGCTGCTGCTACTACTACTTCAGCCTACCATTACCATACACAACCCACTACTACTACTACTACTACTACTTTTTTTTTATACGTGGCCTCCATCCTCCCCCAATAGTCACACCTTCGCCGCCATTTTATTACCGTCTACCACCCACCAATAACATACCATTACCGTTTACCATCCACCAATAACTACCATTACCGTCTACCACCCACCAATAACATACCATTACCGTCTACCACCCACCAATAACATACCATTACCGTTTACCACCCACCAATAACCCACCATTACCGTCTACCACCCACCAATAACATACCATTACCGTTTACCACCCACCATTACCGTCTACCCCCCACCAATAACTACCATTACCGTCTATCACCCACCAGTAACTACCACCATCCATCGTTAGGTACGCCCCCTTCCCTACCTACCATTAAGAGCCATCTAGAGAAGCCATAGGCCTCGTCCATTGTAATTATCGATGTATGGGATGGTGACTATCATGAGCCCTTACCTAGCCACTCCTCGACCTCACCTGTCTTCTTCTCTCTCCGTCGCCTACACCTGCCCTGCCCTGCCCTGCCCTGCCCTGATCCATAATTACTTATCTCCTATCAAATATCCCTCATCCTCCAGACAGGCTTGGCATTTGACTTATTCTTGTCATGCCTTGCCATAAACAGATGTACTGTATCGTGAATTTTCCCTCCACACATTCATCCTGTCACTAAATGTAACTTGCCGACATAATCCATGGCCCTTCAGGCCAACCCCCAAGTGGCCATAATTCACCCTCAAATGGCCTTCACTCCATCCCGCAAATAGTTCTCACTCCTCCCCATCCGGCCGTCATCCCCCCCCCCCTCCTCAAATGGCTCTTACTCCACCCTCAAATGGCCTCCCGCTCCCTCCCTATCAAACCCTCACTCTCCATCCCCCCCCCATCCGCCCTCACTCTCCCATCCGGTCCTCATTCCCATCCGACCTCACTCCCCCATCCGGTCCTTATTCCTCCCTATCCGACCCCAACTCCCCCTCCGGCCCTCACTCCCCCATCCGGCCCTACTCCCCATCCAGCCCTCACCTCCCATCCGGTCCTCATTCCTCCCTATCCGACCCCACTCTCCCCATCCGGTCCTTATTCCTCCCCATCCGACCCCAACCCCCCTCCGGCCCTCACTCTCCCCATCCGGCCTCACTCCCCATCCGGTCCTCATTCCTCCCTATCCGACCCCCACTCTCCCCATCCGGCCCTCACTCCTCCCCATCCGACCCTCACTCTTCCCATCCGGCCCTCACTCCTCCCGTCCCCATCCGGCCCACATTTCTTCCCTATCCGGCCCTCAAGTTCCCTCCTTCGTCCTCATAAAACTGTCGGGAGCAAAACACAAGTTATTTTCCCTCTCGGAGCACTAACACGGATATAATGGGCCTGTTCTCTACCGCTATACATTATCCTCCCATTTGTTGGTGTCTTTTATTTATTTTTTTACAGTTTCGTCGTTCACTGTGTTTACTATTGCGTCTGTATCTCTCTTTCTCTCTGTATCTTTCTTTCTGTATCTCTATGTCTCTTTCTATATGCCTAATCCCCCTTCTTCTTCTTCTTTTATTTCGTTTTCGTTCATATTGTAAACAACACGAGGGAGAGAGATGTGATTCATATATGCCTGGTGTAAATGTTTCCTCTTGTGGTGTACTCTCTCTCTCTCTCGGCCTAGCTGCGGTAATAGTTTTTCACTACTGAGGGTGTCCAAGAAGTTTTAATTAGTATGCGGTCATTTACCGTGGAGCTACCGATTCCTATAAACGACATTGAAACTTTGCTTTGTGTGTGTGTGTGTGTGTGTGTGTGTGTGTGTGTGTGTGTGCGAGAGAGAGGGGGTTGTCACTGACTGGCTGCAATGTCAACCCTTTACGCCCCATCACTCAGGTAGGGCGGCCTGACGAGTCTCTTCCTCCTCACCCCTACCTACACCACCACTACCATCACTCCCCTACACCACCATTACCGTTACTCCCCTACACTATACTTACAACTTTCATCAGTGTGCAAGGGCGGACCCAGGGGCGGGGGGGTTCTGAGGGTCCGGATCCTCCACTGCAGGGATTCCAATATTTTTTGTTTAATGCAGTATTGTACTCAGGCATTTTTTGTAAAGTAAAAATTAATTACTGTTGACCTCTGACTATCTCCAAATATAAAGTGCACATGGCTTCAAAATGGCCGTGATATTGGTCTTGATTTCAAAAATAATTCTGGGAGGGGGGAGCTAACAGCTCCCCCACTAAAAAAACCCCAGCTGGGTGGGCTCGCTTTGCTCCCCATGTTTCCCCTCATTCAAAATTTCTTGGACCCCCGTTTGACAATCCTGGATCCGCCTCTGGTGTGGGTGTGTAAGAGGGCGCCTGCGTGTGTGTGTCTGCCGGCACTCTCCCCAATGACCGTGAAGTGAGGCAGACAGACTTGGGACGTCTGGTCGCCGCCGGCCTGGAGGGTCATTACCAAGTGAAATGAATTGGGCGCCTCGTGAAAGCCACGTTACCTACCAGTCAGTTGCCCACCGATCCAACCTAAGCCAAGCCAAGGTCACTCACTTCCGTTCCGCCCCACCTTCCCCTCTTACAAAGCCAGAAACATCCCCTCAATCGTCTAAGAACAAAAGAAAACTCCTCCATCTGATACTACTCTTGTGAACCTATACTGAATCGACACACCACCGAGGAAAGTGCTCCAGGGAAATGCCTGCCAAGAATTTAGTTCACCTTCTATTGAGCAAACCATACTACTGTATACTACATACTCCTGGAGAAATCAACCCCCTCTATCTCTTTTCCCCCATTCCTACCTCCCTCCCCTCCACACCTAGGAGAAACATTCATGTGACCACCACCTACAAAGGAATAGTGTCCTTCTAATATACCACTGATAAATGTATTTCCTTTGTACACCACAAAGGAAAAAAAACACGTCACCCGCACACACATCTGTGAAAGCTATCAGGTAAGTACCCCCCACCATCACACATGTACTGACACCTGAGAAAACCACATCAGGTGGTTAATCTCCTCTCTCTCTGCCCTCCATCACACCTGCATTGACACCTGAAAGCCAACAGGTAAGAACTCCCTCCCACCATCAGACCTACAGTATACTAACACTAATTGAAACTTGACAAATCACCCATAACGCTGTGTTCCCATCATGTAAATTGGCACAGCTAGTGGGAGATCTGCTTCACTGTCATCTGAAGTACCCACTTACCTAGGTTTCTACTCCGTCACTTTAACATACCAGTAACACCATCTTGCACTGCTCTCTCTCTCTCTCTCTCGATTACTGCACATCAATAACTATACAATACATATTGTATAATAAAAAATATATAAAATAAAAATATAAAATATAAGTGTAGAGTGTTCATCGGGTGTGGCTAAGGGTGTCCCGGCTTTCAACCATATCCATATTGCTGTTATTGTTTACTGTGTATACCTGTATTTTTGTATGGTTAAATATAATGTTTCGCTTTAAACTACTTATGTACTCTATTTTGTTTACTATTACTGCTCCTTTTTCGTTATTCATATTATTATTACTGTTATTATTATTATTTCTGCTGCTGCAACATACGTGAGTAATATTTCCATCCAACTTTATTAATTTTAACATTGCAGAAAATAACAATACTGAGAGCTTAATTAAGACATGTGATAGTACGAACAACGTCACCTGAAGCCACGGGCCGTCAAATTCTCCTGACCAAGTTACCAAGTTCAAGTTCGACCGGAAGACCCCCGTGGTGGAGGACATTACTGTATATCGTGTATTCAGGTGTGGTCATCAGGGGCACAGTTAACCAATCTACCTGCCTATACCCACCTGACACCATGGGTAGAGTAGCAGCAGTGTGTGGTGGGCGGCAGGAAGCATGCTAAGGACAATAGGATAAGCCTTGAGGCACCACCCCCCCCCTGGTCACGTGACTCCGCTATATCATCACTATCTGCTCAATAACACACCCCGACTAAACTTCTTATGAACAAATTGTTACTGTACATTAATAAGACCTTACAGTGTTATCCCCCCCCCCAAGAGCAAAGTAAACAAACTAAGGCACAGGTCCAGAAATAGATTGGGGGATAGCTCTCCCCCTCAATACTCCACCCCCACCCCTCCCTCTGCATGCCGTGAGTCACGTCAGGTCGTACTCAGTGACCTCGAAGGTGGGGTAAAGGTCATAAGGCCGGGTCAAAATATATTATTCTTAACGGCGTAGCCCAAAATGAACGCTATAAAATATCTGGGAGAGGTATGGGGGAGGGGAGGGAGTCCGCAGGGCCCCGCGCCGTCCTGTCGCTCTGGCACCCGCAACATCACTTAACCGCAGGTGCACCACACCACTTTGCAGGGCTTCTCCTGACGCAGCCTTACCTGTAGAGGGCCGTGGCTCTCAGAGTCGACTCCTCACTCAGTGTAATACTATACAGGTTTATATAGCAGCCGGAGTTGTTGTGGTGCAGGAGGTGCGGCCGCCGCTGCTGCTGGTCGTGTGGCTACTACACTCACTCACGGGTCTCACTGAGGCTCACACTGACTCAACTAAACAGTCGTCACGCCATAAACTCTTCTGAATTACAACGTTCCATGTGTGGCGGTACACGAATCTTCCAGCGTATGACCTTGACCTTCACAGGTTGAGGAGGGGAGACGACCACCCAAGCGTCCAGAGGATTACCAATGACGACACCAACTACTTACATGCGGTCCACGCTGAGGTCATCACTGTGTACACTACTTCCCCTACCCCACATCAACAACTTCACAAAATCCCCAAACTTGAGGTGGAAATCGATCACAGTGGTATCGATCGCCTTACACAACAGCGTCAAACGTCAGTCACAGCATACGTGCGCCGACAGTGGCTAGGGGGGGCCTTCAGCAGTCAGTCTTAACTTTTCACCAATATTGTAATAATAAACAGTACATTAGCTATATAACTCTACTCTAGGCAACACGTAAGATCTCCGTAGTAAAAACCTTCAGTGCAACACCATGTAAAAACACCAGCTACCGCACTAGTTCCTACACACACACGCACGTCGACAATAGTGTCAGCAAACACAGACTGACGCACTCCACACTAGACGCGTGCGAGCGATAAGCGATCTGCAGTGATGGTGTGTGTTAGGCCAAGTGGCGCCCGTGTCCAGCTGGTGTGTCTCACCCCCCACCCCCCCGCCATCACCCACCTTCACCTGCCGACTTCTTACTACTACACTCATGTCATCACCTGGGAGACAGTGTGATACGTCGTCCTTACGTCCACACCTGACACATGTACAGCCATGTTACGACCACCACGTCTCCGCGACAACCTTGTGGAGGCAGTGCAGTGACAACGCTGACTAGGGACACCAAAGCAGAACACCAGTCGACACATGACTCACGAGTCACAAGCATCACGTTGGGTAGAGAAGAGCACAACGATGTCAGACTAACTGTCGCGGTATAGAAGAAGAGTATCAAGAACAAGATGGTAATGAATAAGAGATGATGAGGGAGGCAAAGGAGACGTCTGGGGCGTTATTGATCACACTCTTATACTGTTCTATTTTGGCTTTGAAGACATTACTGAAACTTCAACTGGGCTACAACATATTCTATACTACGTTTTACCATTATGGGAAAATGTGGATATCAATCATAGTATTTCATACAACACAATGTAGTAGATATTTCATAGTGCAATGGATGTAGGGTAAGTGTTAAGTGAAGATTCAGGCAGAATAGAAAGAGAAAAAGGGAGAGAGGAAGAAGTGAAGATGAAGGGGAGACAAAGGAGGAGGTAGAGAGGTGGAGCGAGGAGACTTTAAAACTAAGATGGCCGACTAAACAACCATAATGAAAAAACGTTGTCCCGACGTGCCCACAGCTGCCCATGAGAGAGCCTGAGAGCAGACTATAGCCGTCACCTGTGGAGGCAACATCTTGGACCTCGCCAGCCAAAGTTTCTTTAGTAGGACATCGTCTTTGTCCTCGTTGGTCTACCACTAGACCCGTAACTGTCGAGTCCTCTGAGAACACTATACGACTTTTGTAGTTATGTACTGTACACTGATCGTATTGTTCAAACTGTGTGTCCTGATGTATCAGCTGTTGTTACGTGTGAGATGTATTCAACTGGTAGTAGGCAGCTATCAAACAGGAAGGTACTACCGCCTGGGAAGATATTGAAAGCATAATGTGTTGTCTATGGTAGACCCTGCTGCCATATGGCATCACGAAAATTGTGACCAAGTCCCAGGTTGCTGATCTGACTTTCTGCTTCATTTACACACAATTGCAGGGTCTCAATTGTTTCTCTTACTTTGACAATACAACATGCATAATGTTTATCATTTCTCATTCTTGATTTATTTTTTTCCATTTTGTATTTATTTATGATTATGATTGTTTAATATTTTTTTTAGCATTTTGTTATTAATATTTATTAATTATTATTATAATAATAATAGTTATTATTATTATTATTATTATTATTATTATTATATTTTCGCCCCCCAGGCCCTGATGTGGGTCAGTAACCTGTGCCCGGGTGGGCTTATCCCCGTAAAAAAAAAAGAAAAAAAGAAAGGCTTTGACCGAATTGTAATGTTCGCGTCAACGTAGAGGATCTTATTGTCCTGCACAGCCACAATCACTCCAACGAGTGGTTACAGTAGGTGAGTGTAGTACAAGGTATAGATGATTGTGTAGTGGGTGAGGGAATATAGTGTAGAGATGATGTATAGCGGATGTAGTAATAGATTGTCTAGTGTAGCCAGGGACATAAGCGGTACCCCCCCCCTCCCCAACAATAAAAAACAAAACACAAAAACAAACCTGGGCAACGCCGGGTTCACCATGCAGCTAGTAACAACAATGGAAAAAAAATCGCGAGGCCCAAGTAGAGAATCCATTTAAAATTGTTGAGATAAATACTAATTCACTCCCCTCGCCTCACCACCCGGTACACTCCCCTCGCCTCACCACCCGGTACACTCCCCTCGCCTCACCACCCGGTACACTATCTCGCCAAAATCACACATTGTTAGACATATTTACAATGGGACCCCGAGATTTATTTTACAGATATAAACACAAACTGACACCTATGCTAATGGCATGTGACAGTTTGTACAACACACCCTTTTCTATTGAACTAGTTTAATCTACTTGGTAATATTATTTCTTACTAGATTATCAAAATAATTTCATAAGATCATTTTGTTAACTTGTGGTGGTGGTGGTAGTACGCTTGTCACCGTAACCTAGCTCTCGATGCTGCACATAGGAGGAACGAGAACGACAAGAGAAGGGCAAATGGGGAGAGAATTCAAAATGTTGATCAAGGCAGCTTCACTCCTCTAGTGTTCACAACCTCTGGTGGGATGGGCCCAAGTGCAATATGTTTCTACGCCAGACTCGCGGAGTTGATCTCCGAACAGAAGCAGTAGCCCAGAAGTTATGTTACAGCCTGGATGAGATGTCGACTGTCCTTCTCTCTCCTTCGGTCGGCTTTGCTCTGCCTCAGGGGAACGAGAGCTTCTGCCCCTACTCCGACAACTGCTGCAGATATTGACTATGAGGCTACAGTCACTGAATGCCGCATAGATCTGCGGCTCAACTAATTTAACACAGATAGGATACCTTCTTATGTATTAGGATATTTAAGAAATAAATGGGAAGGTGTGGCTGGGGAGCAGGAGGCCACGTTAAAAAAAAAAAAAAAGTGGTAATAATGGTGTTGGTGAAGGGTAGGGGAGGCAGGTAAAGGGGTAGAAGGGGTAGGGGTGGTGGTGGTGAAGGGGTAGAGTGGGGTAGGGTGGGTGAAGGGGTAGAGTGGTGGTGGTGAAGGTAGAGTGGTGGTGAAGGGGTAGAGGGTAGGTGGTGAAGGTAGAGGTGGTGGTTGAAGGGGTAGGAGGGTGGTGGTGAAGGGGTAGGTGGTGGTGAAGGGTGGTGGTTGAAGGTAGGGTGGGTAGAGGGTGGTGGTGGTGAAGGGGTAGGAGGGTGGTGTAAGAGAGTGTGTGTAGGTAATAGTGGTGGTGGGAGGAAGGGTGTGAGGGTATAGGGGTGATGGTGAAGGGGGTGGTGGTGGTGAAGGGGGTGGTGGTGAAGGGGTAGTGGTGGTGGTGGTGAGAAGGGGTAGAGGGTGGTGAAGGGGGGTAGAGTGGTGAGGGGTAGAGGGTGGTGGGTGGTATGGGGTGGGGAGAGGTGGTGGAGAAGGGGTAGAGGTGGTGGTGAAGGGGTAGAGTGGTGGTGGTGGTGAAGGGGTAGGTGGTGGTGGTGGTGAAGGGTAGGGTGGTGGGTGGTGGTGAAGGGTAGGGTGGTGGTGGTGAAGGGGAGGGGTGGGTGGTGAAGGGGTAGGGTGGTGGTGAAGGGGTAGGTGGTGGTGGTGAAGGGGTAGGGTGGTGGTGGTGTGGTGAAGGGGTAGGGTGGTGGTGAAGGGGTAGGGTGGTGGTGGTGGGTGAAGGAAGTGGTGGTGAAGGGGTGGGGTGGTGGTGGTGGTGAAGGGGGTAGGGTGTGGTGAAGGGGGTAGGGTGGTGGTGGTGGTGAAGGGGGTGGGTGGTGGTGGTGAAGGGGGTAGGGTGGTGGTGGTGGTGGTGAAGGGGTAGGGTGGTGGTGGTGAAGGGGGTAGGGTAGTGGTGGTGATGGTGGCCTGTCTGCCCCAGCGAGTCACAACCACCTGCAGGCGACAACCGTGAAACATGTCTCCTCTGTTTTATTCCTCTCACAATAAAAACAAAAACAAAACACAAAAATAAAACAGATTTTCTACTTTGGTGTCTAAGCCAAGTGCCTAAGCCAAAACCACTTAAAACACTTGCATCAACGCCACATAAAACACACACACACACACACACACATCCTTGACCACCGAAGGGTCAAGACGTGCCTCGGAGCAGCCAGGTCAACTGTTAAGTTGGCCCATACCAACCCCTTCCCTTGAACCCCCCTCCCCACCGGAATATCAACAAGTTCTCGCCAGAAGTTACAATTTCATTTAGGAAAGGAACGAAACCAGTGTTAAACAGAGGTGAACAGTGGTGAACAGTGCTTAAGTCAGTGAGAACAACTCAACAGTAACAGTCGTACCCAAGTTAACCTTCACACAGTGAGGTCCCAGGTACCCAGTGATAACGGCCCCAGACCCAACAACAATCAGCGATGTGTTAATCCGTCTACGATAAGAAGGCCTGGGACCACACCTCACCATATAACACCATCTGTGAGGAATTACTACACCACATGTCCCTATAACACCATATGTGAGGAATTACTACACCACGTCAAGTCCTCATAACACCATCTGTGAGGGAATTACTACACCACGTGAGGTCCCTCATAACACCATCTGTGAGGGAATTACTACACCACGTCAAGTCCTCATAACACCATCTGTGAGGAAATTACTGCACCACGAGGCCCCTCATAACACCATCTGCGAGGGAATTACTACACCACGCCAGGTCCTCATAACACCATCTGAGGAACTACCTACACCACGAGTTCCTCCTAACACCATCTGGGAGGGAGTATTACACTATGAGTTTGCTGTTCAACACCTACATTAATCTGTATGTTCACTGTATGTTCCTTTACCTTTCTCTAATGAAGGCTTTTTTTAAACCACCAATGTATGTAATAAGTCATTTATGTCCAATGTATATTTTCAGCCATCGGGCTGCAGAATTTTTTCAATAAACCGTTAATTATTATTATTATTATTATTTTATTACACACACCAAAAAATATATAACCAAAGAAAATGAATCAACATTAACATACACAATTAATTAAACGACTCGATCAACATCAAGAATAGTGACGTGAATAAATAATCAAATTGTTAGTTATATTTATCATTGGAATTTCAACAGAATATAGTTAACTGGACTGGCACTGGATATAATAAAATGAGTCACGTGTAATTTTATTGCTGGAGTATTTAGAAATAA